CCTAACAGAATAACTTTCACTTAAATAAAAAGCTTTACCACATTGATGATGTTCACTTTCCTTCGTATTTTTTGGCATTCTTTTACGCTTCAAGGAAAGCCAGCCATGAGAAATATTCTTCGGTGTACCAATTACGGGATCTTATATCTCTAGGTTTTATCCAGTTTTTGGAAAATGGATTTGCATTGTGCCCACCAAAGGAATTTACTTTGGAATTAAATTTATAAGCTCTATCTTCCAATTGAACAAATTTGAGGCAGCCAACTTAAAATGAAGATGCCCTCAACTTAAATCAATTATTATGTACAGTACATTGGTCAGGTTTATACGTATTTAGGGCAAAAAAAAAATCACAAATTCAAAATGCTGTACAACTTGAATAATATAAACATTACCCAAGTAGCCAGGAAGACGAGAAAGATAGAAGGAAGCTCCAGCATCAGGATGGAAACCCATTCGAACCTCAGGATGAGAAAATACCTGTAATAATTAAATGTAAGACAAATAAATAAATGAGGGACTCAACATTGCTAATTTGAATTGAAGGGTGATATAAAAGGGGTATATTTCGGGTGACTTCAAAAAAATTGGAATTTGAAGAAGGGAGATTATTCTTTCTTGACTAATTGTGCTTCAACTCAGGAATATTTGGAATGCTATTTAGAAACAAAAAGCCTAATCTCATTCCCAATTTCGTGGTCCAACAGAATTCCAAAATATGAAATCTGTGCAGAAAGGAAAGGCTAGCTATCTATCTGATTCAGAAAAATGATATACACTCAGTCAGACACATTCAAGTGATATGCAAAATTTGTATTAAATTATACGTTGTACTTTCCTTTATTTCATTTCTCTCCCTTTGGGATATTGTTTCCTCGAACAATTTTGTATCTTCTCATCAATAAATGAAAATTTCATTTCTTGTTTATATATATGTCATATTTTACTCAAGTTTTGGCTATCAAAATTTGTTGACATACATCTAGTTCTATTAAATCTCCCCATTTTCAAATACTTAAATTCATTTATTCAAATATCATGTTATACGAATGTATAATGAGCAATGTCAAATAAGAATCATCTAGGTATCTAGATAGAAAAACATCACAAAAGTTGATTACTCCTGCATTCACTTACAGTTCTATCAGTCACCACTTTGAACATTCCTGGAAGGGAAATCCCAGCCCCACCTCCCATCATGATACCATCCAACAGTGCCACCTAATGAAAATAATAATAACAGGCTACAGTGTTTTAAAGGTAGCATAAAATGTCTACATAAATTCATAAGCAAACAAAATGAAGAAAGGAAAAAAAAACATAAAGTGCATACTGAACATCAATAAATGCACTAAACTCTCTCTAATCTCAACAGTAACCCTACGCCTAGAGAAAAAAAAAAATCATAAAAGACTGATGAGCACTACTTGGTTAATCATAACACTGAACATCTCAGCGAGGACAGGAAGAGTTGTTACTCACATGTGGCTTCAAGTAAGTTCCTTGAAGATACACAAATTTGTATAATGTCTCAAAGAACTTCCTGCAGTCTTCAATATTCCCTGTGTCCAAAAGGAAAAAGGATTCACTTACGTTCTCTAACATATTTGCATGAGTTAATGAATCCCATTTACAACACTATACGCTGGATGTAAGATGATAGCAAACCTGTTAGGCTGTTAGTGTAAACTTTTTTCTTCTTTTTTTGACTCAGTTACAAGGCTTAAATACAAATCAATAGAGGTGGATTATTGTCTAAAAGAAGGACCAACCGTGGGAAAGATTACCATAGTGAAACACTGTTTAATCCACTAAGTTTAAGAACCTTCAATCAAAGTTTTCCCTACATCATCTATCCAAATGGTGCAGAACATTAAGCCATTTCTTCTCTAGAGAAAGTATATAGGAAATATTAATTTGATTCCAGTTCTAATTATTTCCTTTAAGTTACTAGAATAATCCTCTACAATCAAAAGTGTACGGCGTGTAAATTGGGTGGGGAGAGCATTAAAGACTTAATGAGGTTTCTTGAGATGAACGGGATAATCATTGAGTTCATTCCTCCTTCCCTCTACCGTTCCAGGATTTTCTTCTCTCTAGTCTCTATTAGGTGTTCACCAAAGCAAAAGCATCACGACACTGTGGAGTTCTTCCTCTTCATCTTACTTCTTGGAATAGGAATTAGATCATTTTTTGGGGGGATAAAAGGATAAAAGAGAGGGTTTCGGGAGGAGTGAGGTCTTTTGTATTCAATTTGAGCCTTCAATTCCTGACATCTTTGCTAACTGCCTCCTTTCTTCCTTTTTTCCATATTAGTTGATTCCAATTCTACTTATTTCCTTTTTACTAGAATAATCCTCAGAAATCTAAAGCAGGCAGCGTTCAATTCGAAAGGGAAAGCACTAAAGACTTGTTGAGGTTTCTTGATATGAAATGGGAGAACCATTGAGTTCAATTCCTCCTTCCCTCTATCCTTCCAGGACTTTCTTTTCTCTAGTCTCTATTATGGCTTCACCAAAGCAAGAGCGCAAAGACAATGTGGAGGTTTTCCTCTTCATCCTACTTGGAGTAGGAATTGGATCAATTTTTGGGATAAAAGGATAAATCAGAGAACGTTTGGGAAGGAGTGATGGTCTTTCTTTTTTTTTCTCTTTTTTTTCTTTTTTTTTTTTTTGCTTCAATTTGGGTCTCCAACCCCAAACATCTTTGCCAATAGCCTCCTTTCTTACTTTGGCCAGTTGAAGAATGCTCTCATGGCTTCCCTAAGATGGTATTGGTCTTGACTTCCAGTCATCTCTCATCGCCATTTGTATATTTCATCCTTTTCATACATTTGTTGCTTATTAAAAGAATTGCTGGAATGACAATCATATAATCTGTGATAAACTGATGATATTCACCATTCATAATGGGATTAGTTAGGTACGAACAAAATATTAACACCAAATAACCAATGTCAAATCCTATTGATGCCTTTGAGGACTCCCGGTGCTTAGTGAAGAAACTGAATACAATAAAATTTCATGATCGTATGAACGCCTTAACTAATGCCAATGATATGTTTGCTGAGTTCGATCATAAGATATCTCACCTTCATTTGATAAATTATAAAGCGCAACAACATCTGCACCGGAACAAAAAGCCCTGCCACTACCCTTCAAAAAATATAAATAACGCTGTTCAGGTACGGAGGCAGAACAAGTGCGAATGATTAAACGCAAGATAAACCTTCAATAGCTTCCAGACAAATCGAGTGATTTTTAACAAACATTAAATCGGACAAAGTGTTAAAAGTTGAACCATCCGTGAATGTACTCATAAAGCAGTCCACACCTTCATCAAGACAAATCCGATATCAAAATTTTCCTCCCACGACTCATAGAGCCTGCTTAGCCGAGCTACCTATAAAAAATACGGCTCTTAGATTTACATTTCTCAACGACGCAATTGTGAACCAAACAAAGACAGCAAGAAAAACTCACGACACACAAAGGAAGCAAAGAATCAAAAATAGAAAAAGAACCATGGAAGTAGTGAGAGCATTGAGAACTGATGGTCTATTGAGGATAGCTGCTCTTGATTTCGGCCTTCCTTTCACTATAACCTAAACATCACATAAACACCACTTCAGAAAAAACCAATACCTGCTCAGTAAGCTCCTTCGAAAATGAATCAAGTTTAGGACAGAAAAACAGTAGAAGAGGCGCATTTCCTCATTTGATTACTTGTTAACAAACTAAAGTAGAACTCCAAACACAAACCTGGTCCGAAAGATCCTCAGTTTGAGCATAGTTTGGTAGAGCAGAAAAGCCTCTCCTCAGGTTAGAAAACGAACAAGAACGCCGAAATGAAGATCTCACTGCTTCCAGTGCCTTCAATCTCTGCATATCTGCCTATCTTTCTGGAAATCGTGGTGAATTAGTCTAGATTTCACAATCTTTGTTCTCGTCTCCGCTGCTTCGGAGCTTAGGACACACTTTCAAGTTTCAATCGAAGTTCCGAAGCGCATACAACAATTTACTCGAGTGACTCCAGAAATTTTGCTCTTCATTGCGGCTACGAGACCGTTCTTGTTGCAGAGATTTTGCAAGTTGGAGGGAAACTGGCCCATTTCGTTCGGCGCTGATTCCAGAGGATTGGGCCAAAGGCTCTTATATGATTGGGTCCAAGCCCAACTATGTAATGGCCCAATACTCTCGGAACCCAGTCCAGCATGCGGCCCATGCGGATTTGATACAATTTTAGGCATGTTTTTAATATATTAATCTAGGATTATTTATTTGGCATTTTTATTTTTTTTTTTAAAAAACGTCGAACTTAAAGGGCATTCTTAACTACTCATGACAAATGCATAAGAAAATAGAAGAATGAATTCATTATATATATATATATATATTAGAGTGTTCGTAACATTATACGTGTAATTTGGCTATCTCATTGAGCAAAGGTTTGATTCTACTCTACTAAGAAAACATGTTTTGTGATGTTCCACATTGGTTGAGGAGGAGAATAAATCACCTTATAAGGGTGTGGAAACCTTCCCCTAGTAAACGCGTTTTAAAGCCTTAAGAGTAAGCCAGAAAGGAAAAGCCCAAAGAAGACAATATCTACTAGCGATGGATCTAGGTTGTTACATGTTTATTGATCATTAGGTCGATCCATGATGTTTAAATGACTTCGCCAGTTCTTGATATAAACTTCGCCAAACAATCATTGTATTATGAGAAACTACAAAAAATGTTTAAGTAGAACAATCATTGTGTTATGAGAAACTACGGAAGATGTTTAAGTAGAAGAGAGACTTGAGATATGGATCGGTACTATTGGCTCTTCTCATGTTGATAAGTCTCTAATAGATTCCTAAACTTAAAAAATGGTCGAGAATCTCTGAATAATTTTATTTTATTTTATGCCGAAGATATTAATTTAAAATTTTAATAATCAACCCAAATATTATTTGGTTGATTGACTCATGTATCAATTAAAAACACAGAAAAACGAAGAAACGAGACAAGTTATAAGTTCAAACAGTTCCTACTGCATGAAACTTCAGCTTCCCAAGTTTGATACACACAAAAATTGTCAATCAATCGCTAAAATTAAAAAAAAAATCATGCTAATCAAATTTCACAGAGGAATATATAACTCTTGTGAACCAAAAGCATGCAAAGAATCCAATGGTACCTGTTAGCACAAAGAAAGCATATGAAGCAACTAGCATGTATCCTATGTACAATACCACAGAAACAAGCTTGGTCATCTCCAAGGACTTGGAGAAGTACGCCATTGAGTAGAGGAACAGGTAAAGAGCAACCGAACCCGATGTTATGTACGATCGCCACCACCAGCGATAGTCCTCCCTGCATAACTGTAAATAACAAAGCATGATGGATATTTCAGCACAAGTCACCGCAAGGATGATGAAAACCAGCAAGTGGAAGCCAAAGAACCAATAAAATTGATTTAGCCAAGTTGCGCTAAGGCTAAACGACAACTCGATGAAGACGGTCGAAAAGGGGAGTAACCCTCCGATCAAGACGATGGAGATCGGGTTCATGTACCAGGACTGTCTTGGGATTTGCCTGTGAAGTGAGTTGATCTTCACAGGTTTCTCAATTGCTTCCTTCTTGAATCCAACATAACTTCCCACAAAAACAAGTGGAGCAGAGATTCCAACCCATAGAAACTCAAGAACAAGCATTGCCCAAGATGGCACTACTGCAGATGATTGCTGACCCCATAAGAGAGCGTTTAAGATGAAGAAGATTATATAGATGATTGTTGGAAACGTGAAGGCCGTCTTAATGGCAATTTTCATCCAATCTGTACCATTAAACATCTTATAAAGACGAGCAGACACGTAACCAGCGCAGAGGCTCGTGAAGATCCAGAGCACGAGCATGGTTGTAATAAGATCGCCCCTATTACAAGGGGAGAGGAGTCCCAGGATGGCCAAAAACATAGTTCCAAGAATCATTCCAAGAATCTGAACTCCGGTTCCAACATGGACGCAAAGGAGATCCGAATTACACGGTGGCCTGAAAACGTCCCCATGGATGAGTTTCCATCCTGTCTCTTTCTGAACTCTATCTTGGGTCTCAAGATCATTGTAATTAAAAATATCACGGTAAATCCGCCACACAATGACAGCCAGTATGCCAGAGATCACAAGAATAGACTCTAAACCGTTCAGTATTGAGAACCAATGTGTTTGGTCATCCCTCGTCGCAAGATAGGCATCCCATCTCGATGACCAATCCACATCACTCTCCTTAAATTTAGGAAGAAACACACATATTAAGAATAATCCTCTTTATTGGCAGCAAAGCAATAAAATGCAAGGAAATTAGCATAAATAAATCCATCCTTGATGCAGTTCCAATTAACTATTGAGACGTACTTGATAGTCGACGTTGTAAGTATAAATGATTTCCTTTCCCTCCTCGACCTCCTGAGGACCATCGGAGTTAAGAACCGTAGTCTTCCATTTTGGGTCACAAGTCGATAGACGAGTATTCCTTTCTTTCCATGCCCCTTTATATTCGTGTTTGACACTGCTTTGCATTATAAAAATTTATAGAGAAGAAGCCATGTAACATCATAAACATATAAGAACTCTACTGAAGCATGGATGGCCGTAATTAAGGTTTCGCTTAGCACGGCACACTGTAATAAGAAGGTTTGAACTTAATCAAATGGGAGAGGGAAGAGAGGGAAAAGGGGAAAACCTGAATGGTTGAACCTCAAATCCCACAATTCTAGTAGAATTTGATTGTGTATCTACATGATATTTGATAGTAAATGCCAAATGGTTGTAGATGAAGTATTTCTCAGTTTTTTCCTGTACATAGAGGGAAAATGTGACCATTTTCAAAATATAATCGGTACAATTATTAGTTCGGAGTTTTAAGTGATACAACTTTCAAACGTAATAACAATGCTAATGAAATTTCATCAAAACAAAATGACAAACTTGCCTCAGGATAATACCCTTTAAGCCCCATATGAAATCCAAGCTGATAAGTAAAAGGAGATTCGTGTTCGAAAATTCTGATCGGACGAACCAGAGGAAGGCTATCGAGGGTCCTATCAAATCATAGAATATAAATTAGAAAAATGCACATGACAACATCAAGGAGTCTAATATGGCTAGGTGAAGGGTTGTCATACATATGAACCATATAATCATCCTCAATCTTCTCCTTCAACGCTTTAGCTCCTTTTTCATCGAGTTTAATCCGACATACAATATTGCACAGCTGAAACTCCATCATTTTGGCCTGAAAACACAGTGCCATGAAAACGCAACAAATTTAATAATTGAATTAAGTCCTCTGCTATCATTTTCTATGAAACCTTCCTGAGATTGATAATGACATTACAAACAAAACGAACATATCAAAGTCTACCTCATAAGGGGAATTGTCCCTTCGATCACCAAGCAAAATTTCTCCAAGATTCTCTGCATCGTCCTGTATCTTGTTGGGACGACAGAACGGAAGTGAATAATAAGAAATCGGAAGCTGGGTCTTCGTAGAAGTTAATCCTTTCACCTTCACTTTCAATTCATCCCCCTGCCACCAAAAGAATACAATGATAACCAGCAAAAATTCTCCCAGGCATTTTATCAAACACCTTGACGGCAAGAAAAAACTTCAATCTACTTCACTGCATTTCGAACTCTAATCCTATAAACAAATGCAAATCTAATGAATTCATTAGATGAATTGATGAAGTTCGGATTACCTTCTTGAAAGCCACTGGGCGGATGCCAAATAAATTGAAACAGTGAACGGAGTGAACCAGAAGCAGAAAGCTAAGAGGGATCGTCAATGTCCGGACTGAGAGAGAGCTCCGAGACGCCATTGGCGAGTATGAAGAGTACTACAGAACACGAACTACAGTCAACGGGATGCAATCTTGTTCTTTTCTTCTCCATCTCCCCCGCCACTTGCACTTGGTCAACGCCTGACGGATTATAAAAGGGAGGAGACGAGAAGTATTCTTGGCTGAGAAAAAGGAAAAAATAACCGACAAAGTGCCACCTCATATATTTAAATGTATTATTTTAGTAAAACTTTTAAAATAGTAAATGGTTCAATTACTAGACTTCAATTAATAATTCACTTTAAATTTATTTTATTATGTTCATCAGTTTGTTATAAAAATTGTTAAAAATATTAAAAATTTATTAAATATAAAATTAAAATTTCTTATTTCAAAAAATCATATTAATTTTTTAAAACAAAAACATTTTTATTTTAAAAAACACAAAAAAATACAGAGTTCCTCTCTCCAACTTGTAGGATCTCACAATCATGCCTCCTTCGAGACCTAAGGTCATTGTTGACATATCAGCCAGACCAGCTCTGATATCATCTATAACAAAGCCAACCGCCAATAGATATTGTCCACTTTAGCCCATTACATATAACCGTTAACCTCTGGTTGTTAGGGAACCGGTGTTTAAAATGTTTTTGTTAGGGACTATTTTTCACATCCGAGTCTTGAGCACTATGAACTACTCTTAAGAGTCTTGAGCACGCGTAAGAAAATTACCGTGCAAGGGGAATTTTAAGTTCAATCACCGGGTAAAATTTCTCCAACATATTCACTGCATCGTCCTCTGTCTTATCGATCGAGAAACAAGAAATTGGAAGCTAGATCTTCATAGAAGTTAATCCTTTCACCTTCATTTTCAAATCATCACTCAGCCACAGACAAGACATAATGATAAATCGGTACACGTTCTCTAAGCATATTCTCAAATACCTTAGCGGCATAAAACTTAAATCAAATATATTTCACTATATTTTGAAACCTAATTTATAATCAAATGGAAACCTATCGAATGATTGTAAAAATTTCATATGCATTGGTGAAGTTAATCCGTTCACCTTCATTTTCAAATCATCCCTCTATCATAGACAAGACAAAATGACGTTGAAACAGTGGGCTGTGTGAATCAGAAGCAGAAAGCTGAGAGAGAGATCGTCCATATCGACTCCGAGACGCTATTGGTAAGCGTGTAGAGTACACAACTCGCTCTAAAGTCAGCAAGGTGGAAATTCAACTTTGTTATTCTCTTCTCCATCTTCCCCTCCCTGAGAATCGTGCGATAGATATTTATACTCCGACAAATTAGGATAAAAATGAGTGTGTCGGTGCCAAAAATAATAATAATAATAATAGTTAAAAATGAGTGTGTCGCTGAATCTATCTATTGTCTTTTAATATTAACAACAGTTACTGTCAGTATTAGAAACATTTACAGCTCTTTTATTCGTTCCGAGGCCTGAAATTTACTATTGAATAAATAATCATTTGATTACAAGAGAACACGACATGAAAATGAAAGTGTTTGAAGTTGTAAGTAATTATGAATTGTCAAATGAAACAATTATTAAATGGCTATGAGATAAGCAATAAGCAATAAGCATCACATTACAATATTCTAACGAGTTTATTGCAATGTTTTCATTAGTAGTTTATTAGTAGAGCATCGATAATTGGGTTCTTGTCTTTTATTTCTTGGTTTAACCTCCGACCACAAAGACTCTATTAGAGAGTTCATAATTATCATTTACTAAAATAAACACCTATAAATTAAAAATAGCGAACCATTTGACATAAATTAATTTGAAAATCTAAATATTAATAATAATGTAATTTAGATAAATATTTAAATTCCATTTGATAATAATTTTATTTCTAAATTTTTTTATTTAAAAAAATGAATAATCATTTTAAAAATTCTAAGTATTTTTTTTTATCTAAAAAATTAGTTTATTTTATCGAAGAAGAAAAAAAAAAAACCATAAATATTACTGTGGTAAAATAGGCATCATTTTTTAAAAATAGAAAATAAAAAATGATTAAGAAATATAGAACTCAAAAGCAAATATATGCTTAAATAATTATTAAAAAAAAGCGTAAATTAAAAGGTTTATTCATGTGTTTGCTAAATTTATTTACTTATTTTATAATAAATATATTTTTTTTATAGTGAACTGTTTGATAGGTTATTAGCCGTAGAAAATAGAAGCAAATAACGTAATCTCCACACCGAAAATTAAGGCATTTAACGCATACCAATTTCCATTAATTATTTTATTTTTTTATGTACGGACCAGATTGATTCAGCACAATGACGTGGCAAGATCAGGAGCGCGCTGGTAAAACGTCACCGTAACAATCAAGAAAGGGTGGGGAGGTAATAATCAGGTGTACTGCCACTATCTGATCGCTTTTGCACTCATTTTTTTCTTCCTCCCCATTTCCCCCTTATGTACAGACAGAGAACAGGCGGAAGAAATTGAATCCTCTCTTCTCGGATCTCTCCCTCTCCCTGTTCTCTTCTCTCCCCTTTCTTCTCTGTCTCGCCATGGCGACTCCGAGATCTCCATCGATTCGGAACCTCTTCATTGCTGCTGTTCTCTTGCTTCTTATTCATGGAGTCAGCTGTTTCTACCTTCCTGGTGTTGCCCCCGAGGATTTCGAGAAGGTTAGTTGTTCCGAATACGCTTGTTTCAGACTTGTTTGTGTTGAATGTTTGCATTGTTGTGGCTCTTTTGTAATTTCTGCTTGATTCTTGTTGTATTGTCGGATCTGCGCTTGTTATTGGGAGCTACTGGAATAATTGTCGGTTGTTTGTGAGTGGAATGGGATGTGTGTGGGGGATTCTAGATCTGGAAATATTGTTTATGGTTTTTTGTTCTTTGTGGTTTTTGAATCGTAGTAGATCACGTTAAAATCTTCAGCGGGGATTGTCTGTGTGGAAGATTTTGGTGCAATGTATCAAATTGTAGGTGTTTTGTAATGTAGAAAATTTATGTTACGTATCAGAGGATTTTTTCCTAGATTCTAATTTTTTTTGGAGAATGCTAGGAATCGTAGGGAATACGCAGCATTTCGAGTCGCGAGTAATCTCTCTGTTTTAATCGAGTGTTGATTCTAGACGTGTTTTGAATGGATAAAGACACCGTGTTTCCACTCGCGTTCTGTATGTTATATATAATGTATTACATATTATGCTGGATTTTGCTATTCTTTACTTGAGTTCTAAAACATTTCAAAATATGTTGAATGTTGTTCCATCTTTCATTGAGAACAGAATTTCGTGTGCGTGTGTGTGTTTGTAGCATAATACCTCCTGCATAACGCGCTCAGTGCGTTTTAGATCTAAGAGATTATCGTTGTACTTTTCTCGTTTGAATGCAGGGGGATGAATTAAAAGTGAAAGTAAACAAATTGACGTCAACAAAGACTCAGCTTCCTTACTCGTATTATTCACTCCCGTTTTCTCGTCCAGAAAATATATTGGACAGCGCAGAGAATCTGGGTGAAGTTCTTCGAGGGGACAGAATTGAAAATTCCCCCTATGTGGTGAGTTAGGATTTACTTGAACATAGAAAACTTCCTTTCTGTTTGGCGCAGTCAAGTTCTTGACTCCATTGGAGCCTTTTTACAGTTCAAAATGCGGGAACCTCAGATGTGTAGTATTGTTGGCCGGATTAAACTTGATGCTAAAGAAGCAAAGGATTTCAAAGAGAAGATCAATGATGAGTATCGCGTCAACATGTACGATATTTTTCTTGGGGAAAGAAAAGCGTATTATTGCTTGGTGTTGTTTATTGACATGTATTTGAGATTTCACATCTTGAATCTGCCATTTATGTGACAGGATTCTGGATAACCTTCCCTTGGTTTTCCCCATTCAAAGGCAGGACCAGGAGTCTCCTGTTGTTTACCAGATGGGTTACCATGTCGGGCTTAAAGGCCAATATACTGCGGCAAGTTCTTTATTTTTCGTCAGAAAATTAATGTCTATGTTGGAAAAATTCAAAGGTTATTTATTTTCTGATTCTTACAGAGCAAAGATGAGAAGTATTTTATCCACAATCATTTAGCATTTACAGTCAGGTATCATAAAGATATGCAAACTGATGCTGCAAGAATCGTAGGATTTGAGGTCAAACCATTCAGGTTATTTCCCCACTTATTCTATTCGATCAAGCTTTTCATTTGCTGGGTATAATATTAATCTGTAGTGCAACTTGCTTACGGTGTTACGTTGCGTTCAGCGTCAAGCATGAATACGAGGGGAACTGGAATGATAAGAACACTCGTCTTACAACCTGCGACCCGCATGCCAAACATATGGTTGTTAATTCCAACTCTCCGCAGGAAGTTGATGAGGGAAAGGAAATCATATTTACCTACGATATTGAGTTTCAGGTGCTCTCGCAGATCTGCTAGTGCTTTAATCTTTACTAACAGCCTAGTTCATTTTAGAGGTGCCATCTATTGAATTAGATTTTTATCTTCACTTTGTTGTCCGTTTCTCGCTCATCTATAGAATCTCGAGTACGTGTTGAGGTTAAATTTAAGAGCCTTTTTATTTATGACCTACTTTTGATTTCCTCCAGGAGAGTGAAGTGAAGTGGGCTTCTAGATGGGATGCGTATCTTTTGATGAGCGATGACCAAATACATTGGTTCTCAATCGTGAATTCATTGATGATTGTTCTTTTCCTCTCCGGCATGGTTGCAATGATCATGCTCCGTACACTATACCGTGATATCTCCAAGTACAACGAACTTGAGACCCTGGAAGAAGCCCAGGAAGAGACAGGGTGGAAGCTTGTCCATGGGGATGTCTTTAGGCCTCCTAAGAATTCAGATCTATTATGTGTGTACGTTGGAACGGGAGTTCAGTTCTTGGGAATGGTCGTCGTGACAATGATGTTCGCCATCCTTGGATTCCTCTCCCCTTCAAACAGAGGTGGACTCATGACAGCCATGCTCTTGCTCTGGGTCTTCATGGGACTTTTTGCTGGTTTTGCTTCGACCCGACTGTACAAAATGTTCAAAGGTACAGAGTGGAAGAGGATTGCTCTAAACACCGCAGTCATGTTCCCTGCCACCATATTCGCCCTGTTCTTCGTTTTGAATGCCTTGATTTGGGGACAGAAATCATCCGGAGCTGTGCCCTTTGGAACAATGTTTGCTCTAGTCTTCTTATGGTTTGGAATCTCAGTCCCCCTTGTCTTCGTGGGTAGCTACGTTGGGTTCAAGAAACCAGCAATTGAAGATCCAGTGAAGACGAACAAAATTCCCAGGCAGATCCCAGAGCAAGCGTGGTACATGCACCCAGCCTTCTCAGTTCTGATCGGAGGAATCCTCCCCTTTGGCGCCGTTTTCATTGAACTCTTCTTCATCCTTACCTCAATTTGGCTGAACCAGTTCTACTACATTTTTGGTTTCCTCTTCTTGGTCTTCATTATCCTCCTCATCACTTGCGCCGAAATCACCATCGTGCTCTGCTACTTCCAACTCTGCAGCGAAGATTACCTGTGGTGGTGGAGATCTTACCTAACCTCTGGCTCATCCGCCCTCTACCTCTTCCTGTATTCGACCTTCTACTTCTTCACCAAGCTTGAAATCACCAAGCTGGTCTCTGGGGTATTGTACTTTGGATATATGCTGATTGTCTCATATGCATTCTTTGTGCTCACCGGTACCATTGGCTTCTATGCATGCTTTTGGTTCACAAGGCTCATCTACTCATCGGTGAAAATCGATTAATGAATGCAAAAACCGAAGGCCGAGCTGATCTTCGTCGACACATTTTGCTCCATTTACTTACATTTGCAGGATGCCGAAATTATATTCTTGTAAGATTTTGAAATTTTAGTAATTACTATGTGCTGCTTTCAGATGTAACCTATTGTACTCAATTTTGAATGATGACAATTCCTGTTGCCATAGCCAGATTATTCGTTCTCGCTTCTCAGGGCTTCTGTTATCTACCTACCTTCATATTGACAAAGGATTCTCCATTTTTTGGAAAGGAAACGCGTATAGAGCCTTTTTCTTTTTCAGATTCTTTTATAGAATGAAAAGCATCTCTCTATTGCCTTCGCTTGCATATTTTGCATTCAGGTTTTAAATGAAGGAAAGAGGTGGATAATCTAAATAAAGGCAGCACAGTGGGGGAAAAGGGAAAAAAAAGAAAACAGTTCCCAGCAATGGAGCCTACTTCCTGGGCTTGGTGTCTTCAGGTTCTGCGATATTCGTAGCGACCTTGGCGACGTCTTTGGCAGAGGCTTCGGGCTTTTTCATGGTGTATAAGGTGATATATCCGATGGCGCCGACGATGAAGAGGCCAGCGATTGTCATGGTGGTGATGCTGTAGGGGAGACTCCGGCGCTGGTGTAGGGTCGTGCCTGGGTGGTGTCCTGGAGGCCTCTTGGAGGCTTCCACTCCTGCTGCTTTTACATCCTCCGGCTTCATTTTGTGCGTATCTGCATTTTTCCTCCATTCCTCGTTACTTCCCATCTCTCTCTTAAATTTTCAGCTGCAGGAGGAGTTTTTCGTTCAAAATTTTGAGCTCTGTGAGAGTTGGGGACTTAAAACTGTTGTTTGTTGGGCGAAGGAGACTCATGGAGCGGTGGAATTTGAACACGTATCAGTTGCATGTCGAAGATGGCAGGACATGTGTTTCATTTATCTCATCCCCACGTTTTCAAACTGTACAAGTACACAACCAATCGCCTTCCATCCTTCGTCTAGTTCTTTGTTTTTTTAGGGGGTTTGGGCGGAATATATTTATCCTAAAATACAAATTTAAGGTTTACTAGTCGGTGGAACGATATGTAACGAGTCAAAGCGATAATATTTGCTAGCGATGAACTTGTGCGGTTACAAATGATGTCATAACCAAAAACTAGACGGTATGCCAGTAAGAATACTGGCTCCCAAAGAAAGTGTCCCATATCAGTATTTGTCAACAGTGGTCTTGAACTGTTATAAATGATATTAGAGCTAGACACCGAGCCAGACACCGATACTAACGAAGATACTGGCATGGGTTGGAGGGTCAATCTGAGCAGCAGCACAAGCAACAGAGATTCTGGTATTTCTCCAACCCCGTTCCAGCAACGTCCCTGCTACGACAGCGGTGGCTCTACTAGTCTGCAGCTGCGCTTGACTTGGAAGTTGATTAAAACAAGAATTTATCAAAGCCCATCAAACAACACAGAACAAAATTCTTGGAGGTGGTTTATCAGAACGAACAGATATTATTAATTTATGGCAAAAGGCTAATCCACATAACAAGATGATGATTGATATACAACCAAAAAACAATAGAAATTCAGCTACTATAATAGGCTACTTTACATATAAACGGCACAGAAGAAACCAGGAAAAGTAGAGTGCCAAATCCCAACCAGGTCCTAATAGTAACTTTTATATATATATATATATTTCAGGAGTTGGCTTATTATAAGGGTACCAGGCCGTCCCTGGTTTTCATAATCCTGAAAGATGTAAATGTGAGGAAGTGTTAAAACATAAAGGAACACATGCACATAAATATAGATATATGAGGAGAAGTGAGCTAACAAAGATCATGTGCAAGGCCTTGTTTATAAACACCGGAGTGAGTGATTCGAACCTCTAACCTCTTGGTCGAAGGTACATACTTTAACTAGTCGGGCTATTCTATCGCTTAACAATGACAAAGAACAAATCACGAAACTAAAACACATCGAAAAGGGGACCAGTGAACAAATCCACCCAATACCATCTGTAACAGCCCAAGCTCACCGATCTCACAATCCACTCCCCTTGGAGACCCGCGTCCTTGCTGGCACACCACCTAGTGTCTCGCTCTAATCCCATTTGTAATAGTCCAAGGCCACCGCTAGTAGATATTGCCACTTTAGCCTGTTACGTATTACCGTCAGCCTCATGGTTTTAAAACGCGTCTACTAGGGAGAGGTTTCCACACCCTTATAAGGAATGCATTGTTCCCCTTTCCAACCGATATGAATCTTATAAACCACATCTTTCCAACCGTTGTGGAATCTCATAAACCTCATCTTTCCAACAAATCACGAACAAATCACGAAGCTAAAACACATCAAAAAAGGTCCAGAAACAGAGTACAATTCTACATTTAAAACTCACAATCCATACGATTTCGCAAAGCTTATCAAGCTAACAACCAGTAATACAAGAATGAGCAATAGAACTAAACTGGAAATTTTATTAAGAAACCAAATCATATTCTAGCAACCAATTTATTAAAATAACTGACGCCAAAGTTAGAAATAAATGTATCAAACAGGTACCAAGTGAAATTCGGAATTCAATCTTCCTACAGATCATCATTTGAAGCGTCCCCACATAGAGGTCCCTGCAAACCTCCATTATTATCACCAAGAAGCTCACGAGCTGCTTTCTCAAGAAACTCCTTGGCAGCAATTTGAACAGATTGTTTTTCAGAAGACTGATACTTCCTCTTCTTTTGTACAGTCCTCTCTAATTGCTTCATTTTGGGTCCCTTCCCCCTACTAATATCTCTCATACCCTGTTTTTGCTCTGAAAATAATGAAATATATCTTTCATCAAAAGGAATCCAGCACAGAAATTCCCCTTCCCCAGAACAAAATTGCAAACAGATTCAACCAACCTTGGGTGAGATCTGGCAGAGAATGTTCAATAAAGCGAGTAGCTGCTTGATAATTCAAGGTAGTTGAACGCTTCAATGGTGCTTCATGAACAAATTTAGATGCAAAATAATCGATCTACCGTAAGAGGAAATAGTAACATAACAACACAAACAATGCTGATATAAACTAGAAATCAAAACTCAAACATACCTTTACTCAAGCCTATGAACCGTTCTAGTTTCTCTTGATACAAGCTTAATCTCTCCTATATGCATAAAGAAAGAATAAGAATGATTCTTCCCATGGGAGAATAACATTACTATCCATATGAGCAAATTTCAGATTTAATCACCAGATACAAGGTAGAATAATTACAAGCTCTGACTTGATAGGATGATCATCTGGATGAACTCCGCTACACCTCAACTTTACTGAAATTCACCAAAACAAACAAAAATTTCGCTTCCGTAGTCCAAAACAAAAGAGAAACAAATCAATTATAATGACGAGTAATCAAAGAAGTTTACATGCGAAGAGAGTGGTAGTGGCTCTAGAAAGCAAAAGCATAGATTGAGCCCGCTGGAGAGGCCGCATTTGAGCAAGAACATCAGGCTCCGCGATAGACAGGAAGGAAATAAGGTGAGTTTGGACTTGTTCTACGCTGTCCAATGTCATCTTCACTGAATCCATCGCTTTCTCGGGTACCACAGCAGATTCTCGAACACCTCCCTCCATATTTGCCCACGATTTTGAACTCCGTCACTATCACCGGCTCACACAGAAATCGATGATGCGAAATTCAAATCCTGAGGAGAAGATTATTTGCGAAGGTGATGACGATGGCGAAGGGGAGATTGGACTGTCGTCGTTGTGAATTTGCAGGTGGGAGAGGGGGCGGGTAGGGCTTTTGGGTTCGAACTGGAAGGGGTTTATGCGGCAGTTTGAACCGATACACGTCCGATCTCCGTGTGTGGAGATCTTTTCAAAGGGTTTAAATGCACTTTCGATCCGAGGTAACTTTAGTACGACTCTAATTGTATGGGTCACTATCAAGTTTCAAGTGCCAGCGTACAAATAGTTTGGGTGCCCATACTCTAGATCTCACAATTTACTCCTTCCGATTCAATGTCTTCACTTTTCTTGGGATCAAGATCAAGCGTTCTCATGACACACTGCTCAGTATCTGGCTCAAACCTGCCGCTAACAAATATTATTCATTTTAACTGTTCTCATGACACACTGCTCAATATCTGGCTCAAACCTGCCGCTAACAAATATTATTCATTTTAACTTATTATGTTATGCATCGTTATCAACCTCATAGTTTTAAAAAGCATCTACTAAGGAGAAATTTACACACCTTAAGAGAAATGTTTTGTTTCCCTTTGCAACTTATATGGAATCTCATAAACCATATCTTTTCAACTATGGACCCTCCAATTCGACTTAGCTATGGACCCCGACATTGATTTCTTTTCCATTCTATTCCATTTTTGAAGGAAAAACTTTTTAGATGTACAAAGTCATATTATTTTACATATATTTTACCATTATAATTAAGTATCAATGTTGTTTAAAGATGCACACATAAATAAATATATTTTGGGAGTGATAATAACCAACAATGAGTTGTTACCACGTGTGATGTCCCACATTAGTTGGGAAGGAGAACAAAACACTTTTTATAAGGGTGTGAGAACTTTCATCTAGGAGACGTGTTTTAAAGCCCGAGGAGAAGCCCGAAAGGAAAAGTCCAAAGAGTAGGACAGGAAGGGTTGATCATTTGCTTGTCTCCAAGGAGCATGCAATAACTCAATTTCAACTCCATTGGAATAGGCAAGAAGCTGGCAGTCATTTAGATATCAAAGAACAAGATATTCATAAGCAACACTACGATGCAGATCGCCAATTCTAATATCTTTTTGGAGTTTATGGCTATGTAAAAACAGAATATACATAATACAGAAACAGAGGGGGTTGTACAGATTTAAAGCAGTTCATGTAATTGTACACAGAGCTAAAAAGAAAGCACTAAAAGAGGCGAAGAAGAAATGTGTTGGTATGTCCGATCTATGGAATCTCAACTAAGACATCTATGGTTACAGATCCCACAATCCATATTTCCAGCAAAAAAAGGGCAGAGGTTTGTGTACTTCCCTCGTAAAGAAGAAAGAAGGCACAACAGAAGATACCATATGTGAGAGGTTGAAATCACTAGTTCGATTCATCTCCCTCCTTCGATTTGGTACTGTCTGGTTTGGTGGTGACGGTAGCGGTAGCGGGTGAAGTTTGCTCTTCGACAGAGGAGTTTGATTGGATATCTTTCTTAAGCTGCACCAAAATCATGGTCATGTTATCACATCCCTCGCCACCAGATGTGGAAGGTGCCAAACAATTATCGAGTACTCTCTCTACAACCAGAGAGAGTTTATTTTCCTGCATAAGTTATAGCACTTGTTAATAATCAGAAGGCAGAGAGAACTGGGAGGAGAAATGTAACGGCCTAAGTCCACCACTAGAAGATATTGTCTTCCTTGGGCTTTTCCTTTCGGGGTTTCCCTCGAGGTTTTTAAAATTCGTCTGCTAGGGAGAGGTTTCTACATCTTTATAAAGGGGGTTTCGTTCTCCTCTCTTTGTAATGGCCTAAACCCACCACCAGCAGATATTGTCCTTTTTGAGTTTTCCCTTTCAGATTTCTTTTCAAGGTTTTTAAAACGCGTCTGCTAGGGAGAAGTTTCCACACCCTTATAAAGATGTGTTTCGTTCTCCTCCCCAACCGATGTTGATCTCACAAGAAAATATTCAGAATCTTGACCTCATGAAAATGGGTTATTGGTATTTTCAGGAGGTTTATAGAATGCCCTCGCAGTTTAATCCCAAAGATGCTACGCCAATGAATGAAGGATGTGGTTTGACACATCCTTTTCCAGCTCTAGGTTCAAGTTCAAGCTCCAGGGTAGAAAAGGTCAATAATTTAAAGCTTTCATTGTCAACCAGACTTTGCATGAATTAGTAGGATGGATCAGGAGCATAGTTTTAAGCTACCCAATAACCGATCATTGAAAAAAATATATTGGTAAATCTCAAGAACAACAAAACCTGCTCTGCCTTGCTGAAAGATAAACTATTTTACTTACTGATTGTAGCTGTTCATGTATAAAATCTACTAGCTGCTGGTTAGACATGCAATCCCTGAAAGAAATTCATCAGAACAGATATTAGATCAAAATTTCAAGATTACTTCAATAAACCAAATTAAAATGATAATATGACAAATACTTGATGCTCTATTCAATAAATTTTCAGTTTTACACTCCTTTAAGGGCATACATTTAAGTATACTGTTCAGATAAGCACGTCTGCACTATCATCACCATTTTGCTTAAAGAAAGTGAATTAGATTATCATATTAAGCTAAACCAAGTGAAATTTCAATGCCACTCAACCTTTAATACTTGTTTAATGGAAATACCCAATGAAAATGATATGGATATGTAATAGAAAAAATAATAAATAAAAACCAAGCTAAGGAGGAACGGTAAATACATACCATATCCCATCACAGGCTATCACAATAAACTCGTCATCGTCGCAAAGATCAACCTAATTAAAAGATTACCCAAAAAAGGAAAAAAGAATGTCATGAAAATTTTAAACCTTGAAAAGTATATATAATGAAACAATTGATAATTCAAGTACGAGGAAAGTGGGAGGCTTTATTTTAGACATTCTTTGAGAAATTTGAGAGGGAAAAAACAAAAAGGATTTTCATGGGTGAAAAAGAGAGAGATGATGTGCATGAGATTTGGACCGACTCACTTTCTGTTTACGCGCTACTAAGCACAAACTCTCTTTTGAAACGCATAAATACCGAATTTTTGTAAAAGAAAAGAGGAACGAGTACTAAGAGACTTGAGAGTGACTCTCTCTAATCAATAAGCAGGAGAGGGACAAAGAAACTCAATTGGCTACTAGAGACGAGCAAGAGCTAGGGGCACACTCGACGAGCAGACAAGGGGCTTTTATCCCAAACCATCTCCTTACTGCATACCTCCTTAGTTTCAGGATGAACCCTTGACGAAAGAAAGATTAATGAGACTGATTAGGAAAGACGCCCTGCGTATAATGGCTAAATAATTCCCTGGTCTCCTTTGAACCCCCTCTTCCCCCTGATACAACTAACTTATTTTCCAAAAATAGAAAAAAAGAACATGTAGGATACTCCAAATAAAAATACATTAATTCACAAATAAAAATACCCATAATTTATTACCCGGTTGCATAAGAAGTAGATAGTGAAATTTACATAGCCATAGAAATTTGAATTGTAAATACAGCAGGCAGTATACGTACAGTGGTTACATCAGGATTTGCAGTGATAATTTGCTTTTCAGCAGGTAAAAATTTATTCTGCTTAAATTCCATATCACCTGCAGTAGTTGAAAGATTAGATAACACTGAGTTATAGATATCAGCCGACTGCAAATTCACCTCCACAAATTTTTAAGTTGCTAAATTTTATTGTTCATATTTTCTCTTTCAATTAATTGCTTCTCGGTCCGAGAGACTGAGAGTGAAGAGCATTGTTTTCCACCCTTTTTTAATTAAAATGTTAAAAGCTTTCTCTTTTTTTTTTTTTTTTTTTTTTGAAGTCAGAAACCATACTTTTGTTGAGTAAAAATGAAAGAATATAAGGCATACATAAAGACAGCCAAATAAAAGATACCAAACTAGAGTAAAAGTGCTCCAGTATAATGAAATACGACCTAGGATAGTTACAGAGAACCTAGACTGAGTCCCAAAGAGTAACATGAAACCTTACAAGGATTAAACCTCCTAAATTACTAGCTTTTTAAGTCCAAATTGCTAGATCGTAGTCTACTTATTCATCAAACACCAGGGAAAAAAGTGCGTTGTACAAATCATAGATACCGGGAGCTATAGAAAAGTTGCCGAGAAAGTAAATAGTAGTAGTTGATCAACCAAGATATTGAACATGAAACAAGTAATACTCAAGAAACTTGCAGTCTCCAATTAAAAAAAAAAAAAAAAAAAAAGACTGTTCTAGGGCCAGATCAGAGAAAGAAATCTGCCAAGTAGAAATTCACATACCAATAGCTCTGGCAAGGTTCAAGCTACCATTGACCCGTCCAGCATGTATAAAACCACCAGCTTTAAGAATTCTGTCCCTCTCTATCTCAAGATCAGGCTTGTGATCCCTAGAGAGGCTGTGAGCCTGAACAAGAGTAATCATGTTGGGACCGTTTATATTATGTCTATGATTATAAAGCATGCAAGCCATTTCACTGAACTTCTCAACTGATGTGTATATCTATGTGCAACATGCCTTGTCCATACGTACTTGTTTACTTTAAACTTTGGAACATCTTGGTTTCATTATCTAAAAACTGATGTTAAAAATATTTTTGTATACTGGTTAATTAAAATTGTTTATGGTTGCAGTTTAGTTCAAGATCTGTTTGGAAAGATTTTATGTTTTTATGTTTTCATTAGCTCATTCTGTATATTTATTTAAAATATTTAAAAATTATAACTAATAGTTACACACGAACAATCTGTATAGCAAATTATTAAAAAAAAAATACATGAGAGCTGAAGTATAAGATCTTTCCTGTTTTTTCTTTTCTTTTCTTTTTTTTCTTGCTGATTCTGTTCTAAAGACTGTTTCAGGAGAAAACACAGCGAAGAGTTTTCTACATCGAAAAACCATTTCTCGTTTTTAACACTTTTTTTTTTTTTTTTTTACTTTAGAGCAATAGTGCTGAAAAAAAAAACCACACTCAACACTTTCAAGCGAAATAAATACCTGGCCCTTCCTTGATATCACGCAACGTGAATCACCAGCATTAGCAACAATAAGTTTGTTATTTCTAATAATTGCAACACAAGCTGTACACCCCGAAGTGGGGCCAGAAAAATCAGAGTGCGGACCCTGCCCAAAATCACATTACTAAGTTTGAATCTAAA